TTTAGATTCAGTATCAATTTGCTTCTCCTGAAGATGCTAACCTTATTAGCGAAACGCGCGTCGAGTGCAAAAATCTCAGTTTGGTGTCAGGGTAATTGATCTCTAGAAAAAGTATTCAAAAATCGGTTTGCAAAACCACTCACTACCTCACCTAACCCCACGAACACACGGCACTGATAAAGAAATATTGTGAAACGATAAAAAAATTAGTATTCAGCCAATCCAGCTAGCCGAGCCTTTACTCCTCAACTACATTTGACAGGACGTTTACTAATTATTTGGGCGACTAGGGGCCACAGGCAAGAAATGTTTATGACTGTACTCATCTTTCTATTGCCGTTCCAATTGGGAATGGATAGACTATACATTGGTGTATAAACTGTGTTAGAATGTTGATATGTATATGAATCATTGTTTCATCAAAGTAGAGTAGGTAAAGTTCAAATTTGTATTCAAAAGTAACAGTGAACGTTATCCTACTATCGTTATCTGTCACCTTCACCTTCTATGTCTGTATTATTATTGTAGTCGTCGTCAGTCATTCTCCTACCATATAATTGAAGTTCATAGTTGTTATTTATTGATACAGTTATTGATATGAATAGTTTGCACAAATGATGCTTTACCTTATTCAAATAAATATCCAAAATGATTTTAGATTCGATGTTCTGAATCAAAATAAAAATAGAATACGAGGTTTGTGGAAACATCAATGAAAAAGAATAATCATCAGCAGCAGTGTTCTGTGACAGCCTAAACTTTTGATTGCATATTTTACAGAAAACTGCTAAAAAATTCTAACGCAATGGCATCCGTGGAATTACTCATAAATGGTTCGATAATTATCTCACAGGGAGAAGTCAGAATGTGAAAACCTCATCATCCTCATCATAAGGCGAAAAAAAGGCGTACCACAAGGTTCAATACTGGAACCGATACTTTTCTTGCTATACATGAACGATTTAACATATATCGATATAGAAGGAAACTGTACCTTATTCTCCAATGATTGCACAATATTATAGCTTAAAAAACTTAATATTATTCCGCTCCTTTATTGATGGCATACCATTAACAATGAAGGATGCAGACAAGATGATTGAAAACAGATCTAGTTCTGAATGTTTGAGGGTAATAACTGACAATAAAGTAAAATTTGATGATCACATTGTAACACTCAATGAAGAATTAGCTTCAGGGTGTTTTGCAGTGAGATTAACCTATAAGAAATTAATTTTGTCTGCCGTTAAATCGGCTTATTTCTCACTAATCGATTCTCATTTAAGATATGGAAATCCTTTCTGGGGAGTGAGTATGTTACAAAACTCAATTGCAGACTGTTTTCATTATTCAGAAAAGAGCTACTTATGTGCAATGCCAAAAATTGAGACTTCTGCAAACCCTTATTTGAACTACATAAAATTTTGACAGTCTTTGGAATCTTTATTTTAGAAACTGTGTTTTTGATTAACATACTAAGATTATCCATACCAGTGGATCACTGTAAATTTCAGAAATCAGTAAAATATTTATTATTTGGTAGACTCCATTAGTTTAGAAGAGTTCTATGAGTATCTGTATATATTGTATGTGTTTGGATAAAATTGTTAAATGTAGGGTTATATTTGTGCAGACATATCTTTACTCTGTATTTAAGCTATTTCAATATGAGTTTTACTCTATATCTATGTATATGTGTATATATGCATATGTATAAATCACATTATTATCATTGATTTGTGTTGCTTTCTTTGAAATCTTCTTAGGTTTCAAAACCCGAAAGTATTTAATAAACTGTTGAACATACTCGCAATTTCGGATGCCAAATTCTTTCGTTGTTATTATATCATCTATCATAATTGTCATGAATCTAAGTTTATCTGAGAATCCCACTACTGCATAGAGTCCGGTAGGATGTAAGGAAACAGCGTAAATGTCATCTTCGAAATTTTGAACCAGTTCCACTTCGTCCGTTTCATAGTTCCATATTTTTATAGACCTATCTCGATAACCTGAAAGAAGAAGTTTTATTAAGATAGGCCAATAGCTGGGTTCTTATTATTTCCTCAATTACTTCATTATTTTATTATCGGATATGTTTCAATATCCTCGAAATATAAGCTTAAAACTTCATCAAAAATTCTATTTTCATTTTCAGGGAATTTTCAGAAAGGAAAGTAGTTGATGTAGTAATAGGTTGTTTTAGAAGTTTTGTCCGTTTTAATGTCATGAGTTTTTGTAGCTCCACACCTCAATAAATATTCATTCTTTTGTATCGTGGTATCGTACTAATCGATAGAGAACTTTGTTTTTCATACATTGATGTTATTTTTTTTCAGATTTTTATTATTTGCCTCTCCAGATTATTACTATGAAATCGTTGAGCCATTTTCAGATAATTTTTCTTCATACATTCAAATTGAATCAAATTGCTACCGAACCGGCCAGAAAAATTATTGGCGACATAATTACATACCCCAAGGATCAATACTTGGACCTGTTTCGTTTCTTATATATTTAAATTCTTTGGCTACAGTAGATTTATTTGGTAAGTTACAAATGTTTGCTGATGACACCACTTTAATTTTCAATGAAATTT